GTCTAACCAAGATATCTAATTTCTTAAGGATATTTAATTTGTTGTTATGTAATAATGAAAAATGTTATATTATATTATATAATAACTAATTTGATGTGATTATGTTATTACCTAATTTTCTTCTTCTATCTTACCTCACATTTTATTTAACAATATTATTTACTCTTTATCCTATTTCTTTTATTATAATAATTTTATCTTGTACTTTAAACACAGAAAATGGTATATACAACATATGCAAATTTATATCTATTAAATAATATTATACAATATAATATATATAGGATAAATTTCAGAATAGAAAATATAATAGACATAATAAGACTTTATAGCTATAATTTCAATAATTACGCTCTATAATTATAATTTTATTTGCTATAAAGACTAATTACATATTTTTGTCCGTTTATATAATACTATAAATTATGATATGGAAGACTACTTTATAATTCATAGTACTGCAGACAAGTCCGTCGGATATGACATTATTAGGGCCCTTAATAAAAGTAAATAGGCCATATTTTTCCAACTTTTTTCTTTTTAGTAAGGCAGTGCATAACGTTCTAAAGTTGTTCCTTTTAGAAAAATGTTTATAGATTGTTAGGCAGTTTTTATTTTGTAATTCTTTGTAATTTTGTTTTTGAATATGACTTAAGATAGAGAATGTGGAGGTCGTATATATAAAGAAAAAAAATTAGTAGATAGTCGAGCATTGTTTTAATATTTAATATTTATATGTTCATGTATTCTTTGAGTTGGTAGTAGTTTAGAGTACCATGTATGTTGTATTTTTGGATTTTGGTATATGTATCAACGGTTGTTTATTATGTTTAGTAATTGACCACACCTTGTTATTGATGTTACAATTCTTTGCATATATGCTTCGCACAGTTGTCATTTTTTTCTTCCCTGTTATTTTTGCTTTTCATTATTACTTTGATTTGCTTCACTTGAGTTAGGAGTTTTTTGAAAACAACCTATCTATACCTCCAAGAAATAGAGGTAATTAAGTTTACATATACTCTATCTTTCCCAAAATTTACTTTATCAATAAAATTTATAAGTGATCTTAAGAGATCATTTTCTCGTATTGTTCTGAATATAATTAAGACCAAGACTATATATAATATTAGGGTCCATCTATCACAAAGTCGAAGTAATGGGAGACTAGCTAGTGTAGTTATCATTGTGGAAAAATAGTGGAGGATTGTTGAGGGACATATGCTGATTGTGATATATTCTATCTTATCTATATTAATTATTGGAGGAAAAAAGTAGAAGTGCACACAAAAAAGTGATTGAACCAACACAAATAACTTTACTCTATGAATAAAATGACTTTCCAATAAAGATGGAATTACTTGGACAAAAAAGCTGAAGAGAAATATGAAACACGTTTGATCATAATTAGACCATACACTCAGTGACTCATTTTCGACTCGACTCGCTCGTTTGTCATTCTTATGACAATTTGGGCACTCTCACTTTTACCTATTTAATCCCTAAAAACATAATAAAATAAAATAAAGAATAAACCACAAAATCAATAGCATAGATTGATTGCCGATTTTGTGGCAAGCGAGGGGTCACTTGACCCCAATAATTGAAACCACTAAACCAAAAAGGACATTTTAAATTATTTTATATAGTATAAAGATAAATTAAATAGATGAAGTATATACATGGTGGAGTTAAATTAAAATTATGTTAAATGTATTAAACTGTTTTTTAATTTTATGCTTTAATCATGTCACATGAAAAACTAAAATTATAGTGTTGCAAAAAAAAAGGGAGGGATCATTCTTTATCAAACAGACAAAAAATTAAATATATATCATTTTTTTTTAAAACAAAGAGTATAATAAATTAAATATATAGAGTACAGACAAGATCGAACTAAAAACTTATATACATACTGAACTAACTTAAACGATATATTTATATTAAGAAATTTATTAAATATATATAAACATTAAAATTAGAATTCAATTCTTAACTTTTTGAAATTCAAAAATTCATAAAATTAAAATATTGTGGGCAAGTATACATGTTCTCTCACCAAAAGTAGCGTGATTTATTCCTACTAGTATGCTATTTTGAGTTTCTTACCTATCATACTCTTATTCATGAAGTTTGCTGAAACAAAGATAATTTTGGTCTGATTATTTAATTTTGCAGCTGATTTCTGCACTACTTTACCCTGAGCTCTTAATTCAGGTGAGTAATAGCTTTATCATACTGTATTTTGTTTTTTCTTGTGTTTCTGCTAATCGGACTGTCTGGTGCACTAAGCTCTGTTTCGAAATCCTCCTTTCTTTTACAAATTATTTGGCTTCATGTGATTATAGATCGATTTTCATATAAGAATACTTTTAAGGTGTAGCTGAATTTCAACTCCCTCTGTGTTTCTTCTTTTTTCTTGTTGTTGTTGAAAATATATTTAACCTAATACATGTAGTATCAAGTTTATTTATATTTAAATTTACACACATGCCAATATCAAACAATTAAAGAAAGTTATTTTGTTGGTTAATTATGTTTTTACTTCTTTAATCAGGGAGAAAGATGTTGAAGTTGTTTTATTCTAATATTTGCAAACTTTAAGGACCTTTTTTGCTGAATTTTTTTTCACTTCATTTCAAAATTAGTGTTTGGTAATGAAAAATTGTAGGCAATCCAACATGAAATTGGTTGTTCCAAATTCGGAAAACAAATTATAACTTGTTTTTGGGTGACTTTTCACTTTTGAAGTTATATTTAAGTACATTCAAATATAAACATAATTTCAAATTTTCAATTATTCCTGGCAAAAGAACATAACAAAACACAACCTCATGTTAGCTTCACTCCATAAATTTTGAAGAAATTGTTTTATTAAGGAAACATGTTGACATGATGTGATATTTTTTATTTTGATTCGCATGCTTTTCTCCAAAAAGACTGACCATTAAGAAATAGAGACTTTTACGGGCTATAAGCTACTTTAAAGTCATAATTATAACTATTTAGGGTAGTTACACTTAATTACGAAGTACATAAGAGGATCCAAAATATCTTAAAACATGTGAAATTCAATATATTTTCCCTCCGTTACTAAACTTAGGACATATTTAAATCTACCCGCATAATATAAGGGCATAATACATAAACATGATCCTTAATTTGACTTCAACGTACAACTATACTCTCTAACTTTGAGTGTGCACAAAGAGACACTTAAACTTGTATAAAATTGAACAAGTAGACACACATGTCTTATATGACATAATATATGTAGTACAACATATATGACACAAAATTGCCATGTAGGGTTCTAGGTAGGACGAATGTGTTCATTTGTTCAATTTTATATAAGTTTAAATCTCTACTTGTGCATACCTAAAGTTAAGAGTCATATTTATGAATTATGCCAAATATAAGGGTATATATGATTTCAATTTAGTTTCTAACCCCAATTATACGGCCTCTATACCCTTGGAAAATCTGGGTTTTAATCTGTTTGGATTGTTGTTACTTAAAAACATAATTTCGGCTGCTCTGTGTTGGGATTCTTTTTTTGTTTTCCATTCTTTTTGAGGAAGGAGGTGCCCTGACGCCTCAATGAGGAGGTGCGAGAGGCTAGCTATAGGGGTACGCGAAGGGTAGAGGTAGGTCAAAAAAATATTAGGGAAAGGTACGTAATTAAATAGGACATGATGCAACTTCATACTACCGAGGTCGCTTATTAGGATAGAAAGGTTAATAAGGGTAGAGTATTGTCTTGCCTTGCTATAGTTTAGGCTTGTTAGTGTCTGTCATTTGTACCAGTCGTATAAGCCATATGTTGTTCATTGTATTTTGAGTATCACACTATTTTGTTATTATCTCTCTCTTAGACTCTATATACTTTTTTTTCTTATTAATTGCTATGCTTTCTTCTTCTTTTACTTGAGTTTGATGCACTTGAACTAATGGTCTATCGGAAACAACATCTCTACCTCCTCGAGGCAGTGGTAATGACTGCGTACACTCTACCGTCCCCAGACCCCAGACCCCAGTTAGTGGGATTTCAATGGGTATATGCTATTGTTGTTGTAAATCTCTGAGAAGATAATGTTATAATTCCAAATGCCATCAATTTATTATGAAAAAACAATTTATCATACTTGTGTTGGAACTAGCAGTAGCTTTGTTCATGAGCAAGACATTAGCTCTATGTAAAAGCACTACTCATTTTGTGTGCTGTAAGGAAAATGTTAGAATTTTCATCGAAATGCAGTTAGTAGTTTATATGATCAGTGTTAACTTTTAACTGATCATTCACCTCAACCATGTAGTGCAAGGACATATTGATAGATTCTGTATTGGAACTGCTCATTTTTGCTCGGCGTATGAGTACATACATTGTTATCATAAGGGTATAGGAGTCGTAGATATAGTAATTTGACATTGTAGTTTTCATCTTTCTTATTGTCTAAAGTCTTATGTGTGTGAAGTATTAGACTGACGAGAAGTTTTGCAGACCAAAAATGATTGAAGAAGCGTTACTTAATGTGACTCTTCAGCTCCTAATCAAGGAATTGTTTGACAAAGTTGATTCTCAAATTCAAAAGGTTCTTGGATTTGAACATGAGTTTCAGAAGATGAAGTTAGAACTTGAATTTTTGCAACCATACCTCGGAGATGTGGACAGGGGCAAAGAGAAGTACAAGACTCTTGAGGCTGCCTCTACGAAACTAAGAGAACTGATTTACAGAATAGATGATTTGGTCAGTGACTGCCAAAACCGAGTAGCATATGAAAATATGAAAAGCAGATTTTTGTCTGCTATTTCTCTACGTGGAAAGAATTTTCGTAATCAGGTTGGAAAGAAGTTGGCAGAAATCAATAGGGATATAGCGAGTATGCGTGAAACTTTGAACTATATTCCCTCTTTGATTAGTCTATGTAAAAGTGAAGAGGCTGGCAGTAGTGGTGGTGATAGTAGTTGGGGTAGGGTGCGATGGACATCAGACATCAATGAATCTCAGACCGTTGGCTTAGCTGAAGATACCAAGACACTGAAAAGGTTGATCCTTCCTTGCAACGGATCGTTACAACTCATTGCCATTGTGGGGATGGGAGGTGTGGGCAAAACCACACTTACCCAAAAGATTTACAACGATAGAGAAGTGTGTTCACGCTTTCACGTGAGAATTTGGGTTTGTAAATCAACTTTTGGTGAGCTTGAGATCATGAAGAGTATTCTGGAGCAACTCCAAATGGATGATCACAGGTCAGATAGAAATGTGTTGTTGAAGAGAATTCATGAAGCACTTTCGAACAAAAAGTACTTAATTGTCATGGATGATGTCTGGAGCATTGATGACGGGTGGTGGAAACGGATCCTAGATGGACTTCCCAAGAAGAAGAGCAGCTGCATCATTGTTACATCTAGAAATGAAGATGTTGTTAAGAGAATGGGAGTCGAGGAAGAACAAATTCATCGACCCAAGTTGCTTTCTGAGAAAGAGGGGTGGTTGTTATTTTGCAAGTTTGCGTTTGCGACATCCAGAGGAAAATGCGAGGATATTGAAGTAGAACATGTTGGACAAGACATTCTGAAGAAATGTTGTGGTCTTCCCATTGCAATCAAGACAATTGGAGGTCTGTTGTCATCGAAATATCAGTCATATTCCGTGTGGAAGAAGGTATATGAAGATTTGCCTCATATATTGGCAGATGAAAGCAAGAGCCATGATTCTTTAATGGCTACGTTGCAACTAAGTTATGATGAGCTTCCACTTCAGCAAAAGCAATGTATTCTATGTTTTGCAATTTATCCGGAGGATTATGAGATCGACGTTGATCAACTGGCAAATTGGTGGATAGGAGAAGGATTCATTCACAAGAAAGGGACAAAAACTCCAAGAAAAATGGCTCTTGAATGTTTATCAGAATTGATAAGTCGATGCCTCGTTGAAGCTGTGAGTAAAAGAAACTATGACGGGAGAGTTTACAGTTGCAAGATGCATGACATGATTCGAGAAATGATAATTAGAGTTGCAAGAGAAGAGAGCTTTTGTAGTTTAGATGAGAATAATACAAACATAGCCACAATCCACTCTCGCCGTTTGGGTGTCACAAATGAAACATTGCTGCAACCTTTGGATGGAAACTCAAAGTTAAGGGCACTTCTTCTCACCAAAGCCAATTACATTGGCTTCACTAAGAAGATTGCATTGGCTCAAGTCAAGTCTCTCCGGGTTTTAGACCTCTCACACCTTAAGTTTGACGAGAGTTCCCAATTTTGTGAAGTTGATATGTGGCGTTGGATCACATCTTTGAAACGCCTAACCTATTTGAGTTTTCGAGACGTGGCAAATTTGACCAAACTGCCACGATCCATCAAGAAGCTATGGGGCCTCCAAATTTTGGTACTTGGTGAATGCATCAACTTAAAACAGCTCCCTAGATCAATCACCCTTCTTCCAAAGCTGGTTGTCTTGGATGTGGGGAATTGTACCTCTCTTTCTTATCTACCACGCGGACTCTCCAAACTCGTCCATCTTCAAGAATTGTATGGCTTCAAGATACCTAATGCTAGGGTATCAAATGCATGTCACTTGCGTGACCTAAAGGATCTTAGAGACCTTCGAGTATTGGAATTGGATGTCATGGAAGGAAGCATGATAGAGGAAGATGAACTAACAGTACTCGCACAGTTTCAATATCTAAGGATGCTAATTGTCAATGCTGGTGACCGTGACGATGATAGTTTCTTAGAGAGGCTGGAGAAGTTGTCACCACCCAAGACTCTAGAAGAATTGTACCTAAGGCAATTCTGTGGACATACTACACCAGCATGGATATCCCCTAAATTGCTTGATCGATTACAATATCTTTGTATCGAAGACTCATGCGTGTTACAACGTCTGAGTGATCATTTCAGGGGTAGTGAAGGAAATAAATGGAAAATTGAAGGACTGTGCTTGAAATACTTGCCAAATCTAGAGGTGACATGGGAAGAAATCAAAAGTGCAATTCCTGGGCTAAAGTATGTTGAAGTAAGCCACTGCAACTCGCTGAAATCGTTCTCGTGTTCTGTTAAGAATATAGAATTTTGGAGAAAACCAGAGGAAGAAGATGATGAGATGAACTAATGCATCAGTTTGTGGCATTGTTTGTTGTTGTATTACACTCTACTTAGTTTGATGTATTTCTCATTTCACTTTTGATTTGTAACAATATTTATTGTAATTAAGTAGCTTTAACTATTGTGATATTCACTATTCAAAATAGTCATATGAATAGCAAGTGTTGTAATAACATTTAAGAGTGATTGTGTTGTATATGCTGCCATTGATAATTAGGCATTGCTAAATTGTAATCTGGAATATGCACCGTCTCTTGAGAAATAATGATTGATATTGAGTATTTTAATCGCAATACTCATTGATGCATATATAGTCTTAGGTCTTTAGAAATGACTTGTTATGTCTTCTCTATATATGTTGTGGCTTAATTATTGCTTCTTGCGTTTCTCAAAAGCACAAGTGCATTGCAACTCCCTCTCGTCACACAAGTGCATATTGGTTTCAAATTTTGACTTTTAACCTTTTGTCCATGGGAAGAGGGCATGTACGTAGTTTGGGCCAAATTGAAATCTAAACATTTATGAAATTTGGTCCAGATTATTGGACTTTGGCTTTATAAAATGGGCAAATTACAGAAATCACATACTTTTAAGGCAAAATTACAATTTATCCCTTAAAATTTTATAATTACAAAAATCCCTCAAACGGATACAATAATATAAGCGTTGATACGTTAATCTGATGCGCGAGATACATTAATCCTCAAGTAAGATACATTACATTTTATACATGATACACTAATCTGATGTACATTTTATACATGATAAACTAATCTGATGCGCGAGATACAATAATATAAGCACTGATACATTAATCTGATGCGCGAGATACACTAATCTAATGCGCGAAAATGAGGGATTTTGGAGATTTATAAAACTTATAGGGGATAATGGTAATAAGTAAAAGGTGAGATTTCTGTAATTTTTCCTCATAAAATTTATGAATTTCAAATTGAATTTGGATTTAGTACTATGGATTTTTGAACATCCGAAAATTCAAAAAACTTATGTCATATATTTAGCCCAATCCATATCACATGTGTCCAATTTTAAAAGGTGTAATTGATTAGTACCGTACAACCCTATTCAGTATACTATTAAGTCTAATATGAAATTACATGTCATGGCGGACAGGATGACCTAAATTCTTATTAACTATATAAAGTTGTACATTCTAAGAAGCAAACTATATGTTAGGTGAATTGAATTAGGTAATTGTTATGTCCTACTTTAAAGGCTAAAAAATAAAAATTGAAACTGTAAAATATCCAAACCGATTAATCTAAAACCAACTTCTGAAATCCAATCTAATCCAAAGTTATTTGGATTGTAATATTTTCAATTCATTAACTAAAAAATTAAATCGAAATTTTCATATCCAATCTAAATCATTTGAATGCACATCCCTAAACAAGGGAATCAAATGTTCAAAGCTCTCCCTTTTTAATATCGTTGTGTGTAATTTCCTGGAGATCAAGAGAGACCGTGGCTCAATAAATGGGCTAATTAAGTTGTATATTTTGTTGGACTAAATGTTTTTGTTTTTCTCTTTTTGAACTTATAGAGTCGCCTATCAAAATAATAGCGCGCAAATATATGAGTACATGGCTAGTAGTTATAATTATTTTTTGTAAAAAAATAAACAGGTTATAATTATTTTTTGTAATGGCCAAAAATGCAACATTTCCTTTTTGTATATTTCTAGAAGAGGAGTTTACTACAAAGGCCTTGGTGGCAATAATCCTTCTTGGACTTAGGCCCTGGTTGTTCTTCTATAGTCAGATTAATGAGCTAAAGTGTATCAAAATTAGTACCAAGAAATATTATTTGATATTGAATATTTCTTGACAAATCTTTTTCTACAAAAATTTCATAGAAATTATTGGAAGAAGAGTTAGAAGAGGGGAGTGTTTCGGGAATGATAAAAAATGTATTCTCTTACTTAGTTTTTTTTTTGTTCGCTATGTAGGCAAAAAATAATATTTTAAAATTATTTATGTATAATCTATACAAATATTATGAGAGGATATACATTTGAGGTGTGCAGGATGATGGAGATGACACTATTTCATATAGATAAAGAAATAAAAAGATTGGGGGGGGGGGGGGGTAGGCGTGGCCTATGCTAAATTCTGTCTTAGATAGAATAAATGGAAAAGGAGTGCTTGTGTTGTGGTTTTCGTAGTTGCAAGAATTATTTTTTTCGAGAAAAGGTCTCCTCCTTCAAGATCATGAGTGAATAGAAAAAATTCCACTATGTAATTTATTTTCCCTATTTTCACTAGGAAAATCATTTTCTTTATTTTTAAGGAACTCGTTTTTTAAAAAAGTTGACGCATAAGAAAATTGAAGATTGTTCGTACCTTATGAAGCCTCTCATAGAAGTCTAAAATAAACTCGTAAGCATCCTCACTCTCAGAACCAAGAAATACAAAAGGCTTTAGCTTTAAAAACTTAGTCAACATTTCATGCTCATTACCAGTCATATGATAACCCAACAAAGGACGGAATCAGTACCTCCAGTTCCATCCACCTTGGACGCAGTGATAGCAACAGGGGGATTGGTAGGAGCTTGAGTTCCTTGAATAGAGGGAAGCACTCCCGGACCCACCAACCCTTTCAAAGAATGACATGATCTGTTGAGCTAACACTGGGTCCAAAGTAGGAATAGTCTCAGCCTGCACCTCTTCCTCTTGCCCAACATTCTCCTCATCATCAACCTCTATGTTCTCTTCTATCTCATCATGATGCGCAGGAAGGGCCTCATTTCTGGGAGCATCTCCAACTGGTGCTCCATCCGTAATAAGTGTTGCCCTTTCTCAGCCTCTACCCCTGCCTCGACCGCGACCTCTCGCTGCAGATTCCTCAGCTAGAGCATTGACGAGAGTTACGGGCCTGATGCCGTTGAATCTAGTGTTAACCATCTGCTTCCAGAAGAGTGAAGAAGGTTAGATACTAATTTGAATCGCCAGATACCAATTGGAATCAAGTTATAGCACGAAAGGAGACGAGAAAATAGAAAGATTTCCTAAAGTCCTATAACCTCTTGAAAAAAACTACAGACGTCATGTACCGTTCCGCAAAACTTTACTAGACTTGTTTTGGTACATCGAGATCAACGAACCTAGGCTCTGATACCAACTTTGTCACGACCCAGACTATCGTGATATGCACCCACATTAACACTCCGGTGGGAGAACCATTACTTCAACCCAAACTAACAACTCAACTAAAATACTAACACATTTAAGTTATGGAAACAAGTTAAATAGCTAAAAACTAAAGTTCTCATAAACTTCCAAATGACCTAACAACTAAACAATGTGGAAAAATACGCCTAGAACCTGAAAGTCAATGTACCAAAACATCTAACAAAATCCATAAGTCTAATAAGAAAGGTTACAACTCCAAACTAATGAACTAATAACTAACTAGAAAAGTCTAAGTCCGAAATGTGGACATAGACGAAGGAGAACTCATGGCAGCCTGGAAGAACTGGCTCACCCTTGAATTCAATCGGCGATCACTGATCTTTTAAGCGAGTTATGTCAATAGCCGTCTGAAGATGCCCTGTGCTCAACAAAGAAAGAGCAAGTGCAGTATCAGTACACAACCACAGTGTACTGGTAGGATCACACCAATATCCCACTAAGTGCAACATACATAAGCCATTACAACAATATAATCACATGCATATATCGAACATATAAATATCATTGTTACGACCCGAGAGCACCTCCTAGTCGTAACACGGCGTACTTGACACTGAAGGGGTCTTATACAAGCCCTTAGCATATCACGACATAAGAACATAGGAAAGATGCAGAAAATTTAAAACTTTTCTTTACAATCGAAGTCTTTATAAAAAATGAAGGAGTCTATGACACTATGTCTCAAACCATCTATAACATTAGAATACAAACTCTCTAATACAATCTTAAGGACACGACCCTTATATAAGAAATCTTAGGGTCATAACCCTTATATAAGTCTAAAACATAAAATATAGACAATAAAAGACATGTGGTTGAGCCTTCGAATACGATGAGGACTCACAAATCTTCTTCTTCTTGATCTCCTATGAACCTAGCCACGAGGATGGAATCCAATATCTCCAAAGCCTACACTTATAGAAAATGTAGAAATATGGGTTAGCACAAAATGTACTAAGTATGGAAACCATGCAAGAAAATCCTTAAAACATGCATAAAAGGGACATTTTGTTTAAAACCATGCTTCGTTCCACTTTTGAACATCATCTTTGAAATAGTTGGAGAATGTAGCTCATAGGACAAACCATGCACAATTCATCATAACATAAAGGATATCATCAATATTACAAGCATAGTCTCCAACACAACATAATGCATACTCCAATATTCAAAACACATAGTTCACATGCATAATTACATACAAGATCATATCATCATATATAACTATCACATGAGTAACCCTAAGCTAAACTTGTGCATTGCACAGTTAAGATCCCATAATCCTATCTACACTAAGTCTCACTTTTAGGCTACCATGATCATGCATAACATAAATTCACACCATATATATGCCACCCAAAGTCATACTAGTGCAAAGCAAAGGTAAGGTACCATAACCCTACCAAATGCCAAGTACCATATTTAGGCCACCAACAACTTACATATATTAGTTTTAGTTCATTCATAACCAACATACATAAGTAAGGAGACATTTACGATCATAACTTGAAAACACATAAAGACAAAACTTAACATTCATGCATGCATTTCATACATAATTCATAAGTTATCATAACATTATAACATAAGAGAACCTACCCCACAACCCCTTTATAAGTCTACTTGTGCAATGTGTAAATGAAGTCATATACCCCCACTCACACTAAGTAAACTTATTAAGAAGTCATAAGTGTTGCTCCCAATTGCACACGCAAGTGTACGTGATCGCGCAAGTAATATAGTGGCTCTTAAAAGAATCAGATTATCGAACCCAAAGGACTTGTCAATTAACTAG